GTCCATTAAATTCACAATTTTGGTTGAGGCACACTTGCTCATCATAACTATGCATTGCACTTAGTTAGTTTATATAATACCTAGGAGCAAAAGGAAGATTTTTAAGGAATTTACATATTTTCACTATATAATCAATAAGCCCCCCCCCCCCCACCCAAAACCCTGACCCTGGGGAAAATTCACAATCTTAGTTGAGGAACATTTTCTCATCATCACTATGTACTTAGTTAGTTTATTTGATACCCAGGGGCAGAGAAGAAGATTTTTAAAGAATTCATGTATTTTCACTTTATATACAATAACCCCCCCCCCCCCCCCCCAGAACAATTGATGCTGGGGCCATAAAATTCACACTTTTTGTAGAGGCACTCTTGCTCATCATAACTATGCACTTAGTTAGTTTATTTAATACCTAGGAGCAGAGAAGAAGATTTTGAAAGAATTCATGTTTTTTGACTATATAATAATAGAGCCCCCCCCCCCCAACACCAGAACCCTTGACCCGGGGGCCATAAAATTCGCAATTTTGAGAGAGGCACTCTTGCTCATCATAAATATGCACTTAGTCAGTTTATTTAATACCTAGGAGCAGTGTGGTGAATGGGAATTTTTTTTCTGGATTGGTTTAATTTTATTATAGTTCTTCCGTTGTTTACATGTGCTCGAGAATTACACAATTCATGTTTGGTGTATTTTGACGCACTATGAAGTAAGTATTTGTATAAGCATTGTAGGAAGTTTTAATAATTTTCAGATTGTCAATTTTTAACCTTGAAATTTTATTGTCATATCTTCTTAAGTCAGTTTATTTCTGCAATTTTTTTGTCTATGCGTCAATTTGGCATAATGTAAAACATGGTTTACTTTCGAGTTCTGTCAATTATGTCTTGTTATCAGCATATTTCAAATTTAATCACATTTTATTCTGTTGAGACAAAACAGTAATTATGAATCTATAGAATATTTACCTGTCATTTATTGTTTAAGCCTAAAAACCTTCCTTTTCTCATTTTTTGTATATTTGGCATTGCGTAAATTATGGATTGGATTATTATGTAATATTAACTATTTTCTCTTTGTAACTCTTTGATTGAAATTTTACATTTTTTCCCCTCACTGGAGGAGCAATAAACAACTTTGTCAAGCAGAACTTCAGTTTGTTTAACGGCATAGTAAAAATTCATAGAAAGTCACATAGAAGTCACCAGGATGAGTTTGTCTGCAGACCCTATAAGAAGAAGCTCACGTTATAGAACATTGACAGTACCGGCTAGAATAGAAGTGAGGGTGAGACATTTAACGCAAATTGAGCAACTTAGGAATGAATGGAGGGAATGTTTCGATGAAATCGACAGATCAAGCGGGACGTAGTACCCTTAAAGCGTAACGGCTTTTGAAGAAAGGCTTCGAGGCGTATGAGAAAGAGTCAAATTTTTTTTGTGAATACCTAAGAGCTACTAGATCAGGGGAAAAGTGCAAATGAACTTGCATCGCATTTGTTGATTAAAGAGACTCTACTAGCAAAGATGAATGTGGCTAGAAGCAGGATTGAGCGGCTGATAAATCAATAAGGATTTCTAAAGAAGAAGACCAAATGTCACAGAGGTCGTTTAGAGGTTTCTGCGGACGATTTCTTCAAGTAAAGCTTCCAACCGCTCTATGGAGTCCATTCTTCGACAGAAAGAGGTAAATTAGAAGCTCATCGCACCATGCTGAAACATCTTGATGAGGAGTTAGCACTTGAAGCACAACTGAAACGCTTTAGAGCACAGCGAGAGATGAAGATGGTTGAAAGTAAACAAGTGTCCTAAAGGATGAGCCACGTTTGGGGAGCTTGCACCAAGTTTGTCGAGAGGTCGAAGACTAAAGAATATTTAGAACTTCTTCCAAGGTACGAGGAGGAACGTAAAAAACTGAAATTGGACAATTCCCCAAAGACAAACAGTCCAAAAATTGATGATTCACAGAAAGAGGCTATAGTTATGTCCACACCAGCACAGCCTTTCTTTTCCCCCTTTTAATGACAATGCCCCCGGGGGAAATTTAACCCGAAGCTCAACCGTTTGTACCACCAGGGAACGGACTATCAATGATCACGTGTTCACAAAACACCTAGTTAAAAGAGACTTAATCTATCAAATCTCGACATTCGATGATAATCCAATGATGTTTATTTCCTGGAAGATGGGATTTAACGGCATAATGGAAGAGCTTGGGGCTGGGAAAAGAAAGACTGGAGCTACTGTGTGAGAAACTTGGACCAGAATCTTCAGAAAGTAAGACAATAAAGCCTGCAACGCTAACAGTCCAAGTATAGCAATCGGGAAAATCTGGGAAAATAGAAAGGCGCTTTGGAGCTGCGGAACAGATTGAAAACTACATTCTGAAGAAAATAAAGGACTTTCCAGAAATTACCTCAGATCACTTTCATCTACTTTACGATTTAGCAGATTTAGCATCTGAAATCGCATCTTTAAAGAGCCAACCTCAGTTTGGAGTGTTGTTCAGTTACTTTGACTCTAAGAAAGGTGTGAATGAACTTGTTAAAAAACTTCCATGGAACCTGAAGGACAAGTGGACTTCAGAGGCTACAAAATCAACAAGGCTAACCCTTTTCCCACCTTTTTCAGTTTTCCTCAAGTTTCTGGAAAATACGGCAGAAATAAGTATCCCGGATTTCAGTTCGAGAAGAAAGGCGCCGGGAAACGTCAAACTTCCAAGCACAGCAGCCAAGAAAAACTTCTGACAAGTTTTCTGTGAACAAGACTTTCCCAGTGCCTAAAGTACATGCTAGAAAGACAGGCAATTTCTACCAATGTGTCGGACATGTGTCCACTACATAAGAACAGTCAACATTCTCTGAACAACTGTGTACCTTTTCGCCAAAAGCCTTTGGAGAACTAAGAAAATAATCTTGACAAATGGAATATGCTTCAAATGTTGCAGCGGCAAAAGAAGGGAAGAACTGTAAAGCAGACGTCAAGTGTAGTGTGTGTCAAGCATCATCACATCCCACAGCCCTTCATGAAGAAGACACAGAGACACAAGATTCTGAACAAAATGCTGTGAAGGAAAAAAGGGGGGATCCTTATAAAGGGGGAAAACGTACCCACTGTCTCTTCAGCCTGTCGAAGGTGCATGGAATGAGTAAGTCTTTGCAAGATAGTACCTGTTGAGTTATACAACTGCTAATCCAAGGAAGTCAATGGTGGTTTATGCGATTATCGATGACCAGAGCAACCGGTCATTGGCCACTTCCTCAGTCTTCAACTACTTCAAGGATGATGGTGGTATGTCCCTTTACACTTGGTCCTGCACTGGAACAGTTTCGGCAACTGGAAGATTTGGTACTGGTTACACAGTTGAATCCCTAGATGGTACTTGTCAGCTGAAGTTTCAAGATTTGATAGAGTGTAATGACTTACCTAGAAATAGAGATGAAATTCCATCCTGCCAGGTCGGACGCGTATCCCACCGAAGTGCATTGCTGAAGTCCCCCCTTTTGAAACGGCAAACATAGAACTTTTAATAGGGAGAGACCTTACAGTGCTCACATAGTTCACGAGCAGATAGTTGGGGAAGAAATAGCCGTTGCACAGAGGCTTTCCTTAGGATGGGTCATTGTTGGCCAAGTTTGTCTTGGTGGAGCCAACCTACCAGAAGTCAGGCTTTCAAAACATTTGCGTTGAGGAATGGTAGGCCCTCAACCTTTAACCATGTAACAACGAGTTGTTAGTTAATGATAGACTGTTCCAGAAAACCGAACATGATGAAAAGATAGGACTGTCGATAGAAGACAGAGAATTCCTGAAGTTAATGGACATATCATTCGAGAGGGATGACAGTGGACCTGGGTCCCCCCTTCCCTTTTTAAACAGAATCGTCCACGCCTACCTGACAACAAACAACAGGCATTGAGCGTGCAAGTCATTCGACAAGAGCTTAAAACAAACCCCAAAAAGTTTAGCATGTCAAGGAGTTTATGGTAAAGCTGTTCAATAGAGGCCATGCAGAGAAAGCACCTATGCTCGAAGATGACGTAGAACGATGGTATTTGCCAATGTTTGGCGTCTATCATCCAAAAAACCAGGATCTATAAGGGTTGTCTTTGACTCATCTGCACGCTATGAGGGAGTCTCCTTGAATGATTCCTTGATGAAAGGACCGGATCTTTTAAACAATTTACAAGGTGTGTTAATGAGATTTCGATTGGAAAAGTATGCTGTGATGGCAGATGTGGAGCAGATGTTCCATAATTTCCGAGTGAAGAGAGACCATCGTGATCACCTTGTTTCTTGTGGCATCCTAACCATGACTTGAAGGCTCCTTTAGAGGAATTTAGGATGACAGTACATGTATTCGGGGAAAAGTCCCAGTCCGTCAGTGGCAACATTTGGGGTTTAGGAAGTCAGTTTCATCTGCGGACCTGGACATTCAACACTTTGTCTCTCATAATTTTTATGTTGATGATGGACTGTTGAGCTTTAGTACTGTATCAGAGGCAGTAGATCTTCTCAAGCGCACTCAGGATGCTCTCTATGACGGAGGTCGTTTACGCTTACACAAGATTACGTCTAATTCGGTTGAGATTTTTCAACATTTCCAACAAGAGGACCTCACAAAAATCTCATTGGGCTCAACATAATGCAGGACACTTTCCGGAACAAAGGAGCTTGGGCATTGCGTGGAATATTGAAATGGACAAGTTCATATTCAGAGTAAACAAAGAACCAAGGCCTTTCACACGAGAGGTGTCCTGTCGTTAAATAGCCTTTTTGACCCCATTGGATTTTAGCCCCAGTGACTGTTGTGGGGAAGATGCTTCTGCGGGATGCTATGACTACAAAAATTGGCTGGGACGAGCTACTCTCAAACAGCTTTCAGATCAAATGGGAAGGATGGGTAGATTCACTCAATGCTCTTGAAACAGTTCAAAACCCCGTAGGTATTCCAACTTTCCACACAACAGGCATCACATTTGGAAGTGCACATTTTTTCTGATGCATCAAAGGAGGGAGTTTTCCGTGGCATACTTGAAAGTGTTCCACAAAGAACATGCGGAGTTAGGATTTCTTCTTGGCAAGGCCAAAGTTGCCCCCCACACACGGGCACACATCCCAAGGCTTGAACTATGCGCCTCGGTTCTGGCTGTTGAGATGGCAGAGATTATCAGAGAACAACTGCAAGTTTCCAAAGATGCCTTTACCTTCTACACAGATAGCCAAGTTGTCCTGGGATACATATCCAATGACGCTAAGAGATTTCACGTGTATGTATCAAATAGGGTGAGCAAAATACGGTCATTCTGTGGCCCAGAATGCTGGAGATACGTGATGTCTGAACAGAACCCAGCCGATGTTGCAACTCGTGGTTGCAGCACCAACTCCCTTGAGCAGTTGGCTTTTAGGACCTGATTTCCTGAGAAATAGCGAACAATGTGCAGATCAACCTCCAACCTATGACCTTGATTAGGAAGTTGAAACAGGGACTTGTTCAAAGTGCAGTCATTTCCAAGGGATCAGATTCTTTTAACCCAGAAATATGCTACATGGTGTGAACGCTTTGAAAAATTTTCTACATGGGCAAGTTTGGGACGTGCTATTGTGCGCCTCAAAGGACTTTTAGTAAACCAAAAATGACAAACCAAATACAGTCGCCCTAAAAGAAGATGCTGAACATTTTTTATTAAGCAGACCCAATATGACAGATATTCATCGGAGATCCTTGCAATCAAAGGAGGAAAACACCCACCACGGAACAGCTCTTTGATTCCCCTTAACCCAGTGTTAGACCAAAAGGCATCCTGCGTGTGGGCGGTGAGTCAAACATATGAAATTTCTGACGTAACTACACAACCTATTTTTTCCCAAGGACAAACCTGTTTCTACATTGTTAGTACGTCACTATCATGAAGAAGTTCATCATCAGGGGGGGCACATGACGGAAGGAGCCATAAAGTGCAGGTTTCTGGGTTGTTGGATTCCGCAGACTTGTAAATTCTCTGATTAGGTCATGCGTTTTGTGCAAGAAATTGCGTGGGAATCTAGGTGGACAAAAAAAGGCTGACCTTCCCCTAGAGAGAGTTGAGCCTGGGCCTCCATTTATTTCGTAGGGATAGACACCTTTTGGGCCATGGCCAGTCGTTATAAAGAAAACTACCAGAGGTGTTAGAACTACATCCAAGTATTGGGCCATTCTTTTCACCTGCCTAGTGTCAAGAGCAGTACACATGGAATTGGTTGGAGATATGAGTAGTGAAGCTTTCATCAATGCCCAGACATTCATGGCATTCGTGGCCCTGTACGCCAGTTTGTTGGGAAAGGGGGACGAACTTTATTTGGGCAATGAAGGAGCTAGGGATAAGTGCAACTTTTGATGAAAGTGGGACAGTCCATGACTATCTACAAAGTGTGGATTACCCGGGTTTTCAACCCGCCCTATGCTCATCATTTTGGAGGTGCCTGGGAAGCCTGATAGGTTCCCGTCTCGTATACTGGATGCTTTGCTGTTGAAGAACAGACCAAAGGACTTAAACTTTGATGTTCTAAATACCTTCATGAGTGAGGTGAGGCATCATGAATACTCGCCCTTTGTTACCCATTTTCCGTGATCCGGGAAACCCATCTGTTTTTTCCCTCCATGATCCTTACACAGAAAGGACATAACTTCTCTACACCCATGAACGTTACGGATTTGGAGATAAGTGCTATAGAAGTCAGTGGAAGTTGGTTCAAAAACTGGGGATGACTTCTGGCTAGATGGCAGTGAGTACATTCACTGTTCAAACTCGCAGGAAATGGCAGTTGCCAGGACCTTTCAAAGGGCGGTGATGTGGTGCTAGTCAAGGACGACAGTTCTCATGAAAGTGGCCGGTTGGGGTCATCGACGAAATTTCCCGACAAGGACGATTTCATTCGAAAGGTCAAGGTCACCATTGTTCTGACGAATTTGTACTTCATATGTGAGACCAATAAGAACTGATTCATTTATTATTGTGAGTGATGTATTTGTTGTGCGGCCTATTGTGCATTTTTGTATGCCAATATGTGTTCAGAAATTTCCAAAGCTTTTATTTTGAGGTAAAGATACATTTATTTGTAACACAGTAGACAAATGAACTATAATCCTTGTTACAACATTTGTATTTTTGTGTTTACAACATAAACCAAATGTATTTTTTGGATACAAAAGCAAATGCCTTTGAATTATGTGTAAGTCTTTATTTAAAAATGGCAATTTTTGTGAAAATTGGAAGGGGGGGTGTGGTGAATGCGGAATTGTTTTTCTGGGTTGGTTTGAATTTTTTATAGTTCTTCCTTGTTTCATGTCTGGAATTTTTGCACAATTCATGTTTGGTGTATTTTACCACTATGAAGTAAGTATTTTATAAGCATTTAAAACTTTTAAAAATCTTAGATTGTCAATTTTTAAACCCTTCAATTTTTTCTATTTTTAAATCATTTTTTGCTCAAGTTTTTTGTCTATACGTCAATTTGGGATAATGTTAAACATTTTCTTTCATTTTCAATTTTGTCTTTTATCAGCATATTTACAATTTAATCACATTTTTTTTGTTTAACAAAAAAGTAATTATAATCTTTGAATATTTTCCCGTATTTTGTTTTAAACCTAAAAATTTTTTTAATTTTTTATATTTGACATTGCGTGAATTTTGGGTTGGTTTTTTTATTCATTTTTCTTTGTTCTTTTTGTAATTTTACAGTTTTTTCCCTCACTGGAGGAGCAATAAACAACTTTGTCAAGCAGAACTTCAGTTTGTTTAACGGCATAAGCAGAGAAGAAGATTTTTAAAGAATTCATGTAATTCAATAGCCCCCCCCCCCCACCAGAACCCTTGCCCTGGGGCCATAAAATTCACAATTTTGGTAGAGGCACTCTTCTCATATAACTATTTACTTCTTGGTTTATTTAATACCCAGGGGCCGAGAAGAAGATTTTAAAAGAAATCATGTATTTTTACTATATAATCAATAGAGCCCCACCTTAACACCAGAACCCCTACCCGGGCCAAAAAATTCACAAATCTGGTAGAGGCACTCTTGTCATCAAATATGTACTTAGTTGGTTTATTTAATACCCAGGAGCAGAGAAAAATTTTTCAAAGAAATAATGCATTTTCACTAATACTTATTTACCCCGCCCTAGCACTAGAACCCCTGACCCCAGGGCCATGAATTTCACAATTTTGGTAGAGGACTCAATGCTGATTACAACCATGCAAATAGTTTGACTCTTATGTCCGGGAGTAAAGAAGAAGATTTTTAAAGTTGCATTAATTTTGGGGGTTTTTGGGCCCCACCCCTGGGCCCCCAGGGGGGCAGGGATCATGGAATTCACAATTTTTGTTCCCCTTTACCTGTAGATGCTTTGTGCCAAATTTGGTTGAAATTGGTTCAGTGGTTGCAGAGAAGAAGCTGAAAATGTTCAAATGTTAACACACGACACACGACGCACGACGACGGACAAAACGGATAGCAATATGTCACCTGAGTTTCTAGGTCCTAAAAACTTTATCGAAATCTTGAGATGATTTGAAAAAATTTTCGAAAAGTTTGATACTTTGAAAAACTTTATCGAAAATTCTGATACTTTGAAGAACTTTGGCGAAAACTTCAAAAATTAAACAAGAGGCCCATGGGGCCCCATCGCTCACCTGAGTAACTTGGGTGATGCAGATCTTTTTTTAAAAATTTGTTCTATATATATTTCTATGTAAAACTTTGATTCCCCATTGTGGCCCCGCCCTAAGCCCGAAGGTTATGATTTTAACAATTTAATATCAACACTACTAAGGATGCTTCCACATAAGTTTCAGCTTTCCTGGCCTAGTGGTTCTTGAAAAGAAGATTTTAAAAGATTTGTTCAATAAATCTCTATGTAAAACTTGGATTCCCAATTGTGGCCCTGCCCTACCCCCGGGGGTCATGATTTTAGCAATTTAACATCTACACTACCAAAGGATGCTCCCCCATAAGTTTCAGCTTTCCTGGCCTAGTGGTTCTTGAGAAGAAGATTTTTAAAGATTTGTTCTATATATTTCTATGTAAAACTTGGATTCCCTATTGTGGCCCTGCCCTACCCCCGGGGGGCATGATTTTAGCAATTTAACATCTACACTACCCAAAAGGGTGCTCCCACATAAGTTTCAGCTTTCCTGGCCTAGTGGTTCTTGAAAAAAAGTTTTTTAAAAAATTTGTTCTATATATTTTATGTAAAATTGGGTTCCCCATTGTGGCCCCGCCCTACCCCCGGGGGTCATGATTTTAAAATTTAAATCTACACAACCCAAAGGAAATTCTTCCACATAATTTCAGCTTTCCTGGCCCAGTGGTTCTTGAGAAGAAGATTTTTAAAGATTGGTTCTATATATTTTTATATAAAACTTATTTATTTGGCCCCCCTTTCCCCCGGGGGTCATGATTTTAAATTTAAAATCAACACTACCCAAGGATCTTCCCTTAAGTTTAGCTTTCCTGGCCCAGTGGGTTTTGAAAAAAAAAATTAATAAAAGATTTGTTCTGTATATTTCTATGTAAAACTTGATTCCTTTGTGGCCCCCCCCTACCCCTGGGGGTCATGATTTTAAAAAATTAATATCTACACTACCCAAGGATGCTCCCACATAATTTAGCTTTCCTGGACCCGTGGTTCTTGAGAAGAAGATTTTTAAAGATTTATTCTATATATTTCTAGGTAAAACTTGGATTCCCTTTGTGGCCCCGCCCCCCCCTGGGGGGCATGATTTTTACAATTTAATATCTACACTACCCAAGGAGCTTCCACATAAGTTTCAGCTTTCCTGGACCGGTGGTTCTTGAGAAGAAGATTTTTAAAGTATTGTTCTATATATTTCTATGTAAAACTTGGATTCCCTATTGTGGCCCCGCCCTCCCCCCGGGGGTCATGATTTTAACAATTTAATATCTACATTCCCAGGTGTTCCCATAAACTTAGCTTTTCTGTCCCAGTGGTTCTTGAGAAGAAGATTTTTTAATGACCCCACCCTATTTTCTTATTATCCCCCCTTGGGAAGGGGTCTTGGCCCTTTTTTTAAACAATTTTAATTCCCCTTTACCCAAGGATGCTTTGTACCAAGTTTGGTAAAAATTGGCCCAGTGGTTCTTGAGAAGAAGTTGAAAATGTGAAAAGTTTACAGACGGGCGGACGGACGGACGACGGACACCGGGTGATCAGAAAAGCTCACATGAGCTTTCAGCTCAAGTGAGCTAAAAATTTTTGCGAAAATTTTGACACTTTGAAAGACTTTGACAAAAACTTTGACACTTTGAAAATGTTTGACAAAATTAATTCGGCAGAGATGTTTGTCTTCCAAAAAATATTTTAATTTTAATATTTGCAACCCCCCCCCCCCCCGCCCCGCCTAAAAAATCAA